GGATGAGAAGCACCACTGTCATATTGTGGCAATGAATACTGTGACGTCTTTCAAAGCCCAGACTTCTTCAGACCCAATTTTACGTCCCCCAGGTAGAAATCTACTCCTTTACAAAGCTTTGCAAATTTCCACTCGCTCAAAGACATTTTTTCTTGAGAAGCAAACCTTTGCCTATCACAGCACATTATCTTTGGTTATATCAGATTAAGCAAATCCATCAGGGTAACACCTGGGCTGGCAAGTTTCGAGGCGGTCCAGCAAGACACAGCTACTAGTTCCTGAGCTCCCTCATCCTGCACCGACGCGGCGAGAGCTCCACCTGCTGCACCCTCACACGTTAGTGGTACTTCCCACCATGCTTGGCAGCATCTTCTACCTTCATGCTAACCTAACCTGCAAAATTCAACGAGAAAGTGATTCAAAATGCAACAGGTGGAAGTACGCTTGGCTTCTCTAAGGAGGTGCTTTTGCCCAGTACCGCTTATCATGTCAGGGCTTGCTCAAATAGATATGCCAACCACATCTAAAAACCAGCAGTGCTCCTTTTTTTTTTTTCCATTTCCCTCCCTATTGCCAGCAGAACAAGCCCAGGCATGATCTTGCTGGGAACACCGTGCTGCTCCAAATGACCTTTCAAAGGAAATACAAAGTTAGCGGATTTACCTCTTCTGACCCTTAGCTCCCTTCATCACCTAAAGCAGTGAAGCCTTGAACATTTTTAAAAGGGCTATTCCCCAAGGGAGAGCACAAAGAGAAGCCGCTGCCGGTATCTCCAGACATTAAAAAGAAAAGGTGAGAGCTACCAACCAGTTCTCTGGGTCACTTGTCCCTGGATTCAAAGCCTTTCCATAAGGCAACAGAGATTTACCAGCAGGTATTATAGCAGCTTCCATTTTCCATGCAAGAAAAAGGGACAGGAAAGCAAATTCCCATTTAAGGCCAAATTTTGCAGACATCAAATAGACCACAGCATCAGTGATTTTGAAAAATAATTTCTGTTGTGTAAGGAGAATGACATCATCTCCACAACCTGAAAATCTGTAAAGGACTTTATAATGACAGAAGTCAGTATATTAAGGCAGAAGCTATCTTAAAACCACAATAAAATAAGCAAGACCAATGCGGAAGCATCAAAAAGACGTCACTGAAAAAGAGGCTGCAAAATGATTAAGTTATCCTGAATGGAAACTAACTTTAACCAAGCTGCTCAAAAACAGTATTAAAACTTTTTGAGAATTCAGACCATTTAAAACGAATGTTTGGGTTTCAAGTTAGTGAGAACTTTGTACACTTAAAAAGAAAACAAAATCCTCCCAAGCCCCACAGCCCCAAAGTCATGATAGAAGTCAAGTTCAGGAAATTGTGTATTTCCAGCAGTCTTGTTTCTCTAAGACACGCACCACTTACTTTTACCAAAAGCTCAGCTCTAACTAACTAGAAATCTGATGAAATTTTATCAGTTTCCAAGCTGTTGAGAAAGATTTAGACCAGGTCTACACAAGAAAAGGTGAAAGAAAAATGTGTTGGAAAATTTAATTATCATCAGCAAAACCTGTTTTTAACACAAAGTCCTCACCAGCATACAGTCATGCACTGGCAGGACTGTGCTTACACTAGATGTGGATTCCCCCCCCCCCCTTAAAAAATTATCAAATCTACCTCTCCGCCCCCTCCCGCAAAAAAAACCAACCCAGAAACAAAAACAACCCCAAAACACCCCAAATCCTGGAAACTGGTGTTGTTCTATTGACAAGGGCTTCCATGACTTTCCTTGGCTAAACATCCGAATTTGAGACCCCACAGCTAAACAACCTCCCTTCTTCTACTTCGAAAACACAAGGCTGATAAGTTCACAGCTGGATCTCACTTCTTGCCGTCACATTCAGCCGCGTCCACACAAGGTGGCTTCCACCACGGCTTCACGCTGCCGCAGCCCCGGGTTGGCAATAAAACAGTCGCTGTTTGCGGGAGGACTGGAAGTGCTGTCTCATTGCCCTGCTCCCAGAACGGGACTGCGCAGTACCGCACCGAAACCTGGCACGGCTAGCACAGCCCTCGCAGCCTCAGGCAAGGCGGAAAAGCAACCCAAGTGGGTAATTTCTGTGAAATGCAGGTAAAGCGGGCTGTCAGAGGCTGGAGAGGGACGGCCCACATTTGAGGACTCACGTCTGACAGGAATTAACAGCCGGACTTGATGATTTAGAATCATAGAATTGCTTTGGTTGGAAAAGACCTTTAAGATCATCGAGTCCAACCTTTAACCTAACCCTGCCATCCCACCACTAAACCCTGTCCCTCAGCACCTCATCTATCCTTCTTTTAAATACCTCCAGGGATGGGGACTCCACCACCTCCCTGGGCAGCCCATTCCAGAGCCTGACAGCCCTTTCGGCGAAGAAGTTTTTCCTAATGTCTAGCCTAAACCTGCCCTGAAAGGTCTTTTCCAACCTAAAGGGTCTTAAGGGTCTTTTCCAACCTAAAGGATGATTCTCTGCATATTAACCAGCCATTGCCCAGGGCCTGCCAGGGAGGCCCAAGGCCAAAGACCGGTCTCACCGGCCAGGCCGGGCTGTCACCTCACCCAGCAGATTTCACTCCCCGTGTGCAGGGGGACCCTCGGGGACACCTTCCCTCCGCCCGCCCAGCCTGAG